AAAGCTTCTGGTTGCAGACAGCAGACGCATCGATGCTCAGCAGAATCTGACATTTATGACTAAATCACACTTTCAGTTTTCATCCACTGTGATGATGAGCAACACACAAAAAAGCAACGCTTCAAGCAACACTTCTGCTCATAGTCTGAACACTTTTTTACTTTAAGGTTTTTATTTATGTTTTCATTATCTATAAATGTTAAAGTTAATGCAAATAATACTTCATTTTCAAGAATAAAAATCACTCAGATTCGGTGTAAAAGTAAACTCTGATTCAATCAGACTGATACGGAGTGTTGCATTGATACGGAGCCCAAACCTTTGTTGGATCCTGAGAAACGTTTGCAGGATCCTGAGAAACTTCTGCAGGATCCTGAGAAACTTTTGTACGATCCTAAGAAACTTTTGCAGGATCCTGCGAAACCTTTGTAGGATCCGGAGAAACTTTGTAGGATCTGGAGAAACCTTTGTAGCATCCTGAAAAACCTTTGCAGGATCCTGAGAAACCTTTGTAGGATCTTGAGAAACTTTTGCAGGATCCTGAGAAACCTTTGTAGGATTCTGAGAAACCTTTGTAGGATCCTGAGAAACTTCTGCAGGATCCGGAGAAACCTTTGTAGGATCCTGAGAAACCTTTGTACGATCCTAAGAAACGTTTGCAGGATCCTGCGAAACCTTTGTAGGATCCGGAGAAACTTTGTATGATCTGGAGAAACCTTTGTAGGATCCTGAAAAACCTTTGCAGGATCCTGAGAAACCTTTGTAGGATCTTGAGAAACTTTTGTAGGATTCTGAGAAACCTTTTTAGGATCCTGAGAAACTTCTGCAGGATCCTGAGAAAACTTTGTAGGATCCTGAAAAACCTTTGTAGGATCCTGAGAAACTTCTGTAGGATCCTGAGAAACTTCTGTAGGATCCTGAGAAACTTTGTAGGATCCTAAGAAACCTTTGTAGGATCCTGAGAAACTTTTGTAGGATCCTGAGAAACCTTTGTAGGATCCTGAGAAACCTTTGTAGGATCCTGAGAAACTTTTGTAGGATCCTGAGAAACCTTTGTAGGATCCTGAGAAACCTTTGCAGGATCCCGAGAAACCTTTGTAGGATCCTGAGAAACTTTGTAGGATCCTGAGAAACTTTTGTAGGATCCTAAGAAACCTTTGCAGGATCCAGCAAAAATAAGTCGTCAGAATAATTTTATGGACCCACTCCCATGTCCCCTTACAGGCTTCGTATATTTTTTCCAGTGCTTTCAAACTTTTTAGTCTCCGTCCCACAATATAACAGTCAGAAACTTGTGACTCCAGATATTACTGGTTTTGCTAACACCTCTGTTAAGCATAATTAAACAGAATAATGACAATGTTACTTTTATTCATTCATAATTATTGGAATTTGTTTGCAATAATTATGTTAAATATTTTATAGGCAATTKATTTGCATTTAAAATAATGTCTGGAAATCATCTGGGGACCCTGACTTGATGTTTCGTGAACCCTCGAAGGTTTGCTGACCACAACTTTGGGAACCACTGATTTAATCAAATTGTTAACATTGCAGTGTGCACTGTACATGTCCAAAATAGGATTCCAGTTGATTTGTTTTATTCCATTTTCAGTGTAGACATCTTTAAAGTCAGTTCTAAAAGGTTATGGTGTAACAGGGTCTGAAATTTGTATTTCAGCAAGAAAAATAGAAAATTTCTTCTTTAAATCTCACTGACTTGGATCAACATGTTCCTGTATGAAGTGGAGAATAAAATGCAACATTCAAGTGATGATCCTTCATTTCTGTTAATAAAAATTAAAATCGTGTTGAAGCGATGACTTRTTCTAACAGATGGCCTGCCTTGCAGATCTCGGACGCAGAGTGGGAGGACATGATGGAGGGTTTTGACGAGCGGAGCTACCTGAACGCTCGGCGTTGGAAGCCCGGCGATGACCCGTACACGCTGTACGCCTTCAACCAGAGGGAGAGCGAACGTATCCCCAGCGACCGAGCTCTGAAGGACACCCGACACTACAGGTACGGAGCAAACACCTGGAAATCAAGCCAGGAGAATCCACCAAGGCAACCAGCATACAACAAATTGGATGTTTTGTGCGTAAATTGTCCGACAAACAGGAAGTTTGTGTGTTTAGTGGTGAACGTTACACAACGATCCGACCGCTGTTTGGATGTTTTTATTCCAAAAAAACCTCCCGGGTTTGATTTATGAACGTGTCAAAGATGCTCTGAATAAGAAGAGCGCTTACTACACAGGCCAAACTAAACTCCAGCAGCCTGCAGGCGTAAACAAACCCATCAAAAACATGTGACGCTGCAGGTCAGCTCACAGCATCACAGGTGCACACAAACACACAGACCTCCTGCAGCACACTGAAACGGAATCTGATTCTTCACACACAAAACCAGCAAATTACAGTCCATATTTCCTTTTTAGAAATTAATTTGAAGCGAAACAGAAATCCTCTTAGCGCTGCGCCGCTCTCCTCTGGTTGATAGACGCTCAGCAGGAAGATAAGGAGCTTGTCGCTTCGGCTGCATCCACCTCCTCTTCTGCTGGGAGATAAAATACTTCAGGTACTCGTGGGAAGTGGACAGAGGTCCAGAGGAATTGGGTTCGCTTTGTTTACTACACAAACACACAACTTTCTGTTGAGCTTCTGCTTCCTGTTTAGCTTTAAAAAGGAACTCTGCTTCTTGAATGATTTCTTCTTCCTGCTGCAAAGTGGGAAACGTATCGTTTACGGTTCTTAGCCTTTAAATCAGGAAACTGTGTTTAAAACTAGATTTTAATTTTCTTATTAAAAACTGTTTTACAGCTGAAGCTGAGCTTTGGATATAATCTAAAGACTAAGTTGATTTCTTTATTTATGGAATAGAAAAYGTTGCTTTGCTTTTTAGCATATTTTGTTTTTCCACAGGTGTAAAATAAAAGAATGATCTGTAAATCTATACATGGGGTTAAAAAAATCATGTATCTATAATTCATGGCTGCATTGCAAGATCTGCTCACCAATCGAATGATTGATGATCTGAATGTCAAAAAACATCTGTAAAAAAACTGAGATGTTGTGTAAAACGTAAATAAAAACTGAAAGCCATCATTTGCAAATTTAATAAACCACAATAGTAAACATGTCAAATGCTGAAGCTAAGAAGTTGTATAATTTATTGGAAGATTTATTTTTCCATTAAACAGTTTTAGTTTCAATGTTTGATATCTTTACGCTGTTCTATTTTAATATAATATTAGGGTCAAGCTTAATAATTACTCCTTACAGTATTTAGCCTTAATCATCAGTAAATGGTTAGTTAACCTTGAAAACATCATTAATTATGATTTATGCTTCAAAACCTTCAAAAAATTCTCTAATTAATACATCTAACACAAGAAAATACATTTATTTAGCATTTATATACATCTACACACAATATAGATGCATAGAATAGTTAATTCATAAGTTATTAAGCATAAATAAACAAGTATGTTTGTTAGTTTGGGAAGTAATGCATTAAAAATTGGTTAATTTATACAGCTTATTAAATATGAATCGTCTTTAAATAATGATAATTTCATGGTTAACGAACCTTTTATTAATGATTAAGTAATGTTAAATAAGGTGTAGTAGTCAAAGTTTTACCTCAATATTATATTAAATATATTAAATGCTGAAACTAAAACTGCACCGCTTCATGAAAAGATATGCTTATTTTAATGATTAACAAAAGGCTAAATAAGGTGTAGTTATTATAACGTGTTACCAATATTGGTTTAGGAGATTTCTAAATCATTGCGTTCTGTTTTTATTTACATTTTACACTAAGTATTTTTTATTGGAATTTGATTTGTGCATAGAGTTTCAGTGATTCACAGACTGAAGGTGTACTTTTTCCATGTGGTATATTTATCATTGAAGAGTAAACCACCCGCTTCGGATGTTATCATCCATGAAATGGACACTATTAGGCGTTATCAGTCCCATAGAATGGCTTCAGAAGGTCCAGTCTGTGCTGGTTAGCAGGTTCCCCGTCCCATAGAATGGCTTCTT